GCTGCTCGCGCCCCGTCGACTTGTGAATCGCATCTCTGTCCCTTTGAAGAGCTCGGTCTTCGATCGCCTGCTCCAGCGCTTGCTGGTTGGTGAGTTTAGAGAGCTTCAACACACTGCTCTGCGCTTCGGGCGTTCGTTAGTTAATCTCGTTCTTGACCTTCTCCTTAAGAGCCTCTGGGAGTGAGCTAACCGGTAGTTGCACTTCGGTTTAGCTCCCTTCGCCCCTTCGAATAAACTGGTGATACCATACTTTCTAATCCGTCGATAGCACGAGAGAAAATAATCCGTCACCCGTGACTGAATATTCAGGTTGCTCATTTTCATGACCAACTCCTTTCGAGCAAATTTATTGAGTGGCGGTAACGCTTGGTTCTAGTAGTTGTTCGTAATCTCGTGATTCTTCGATAAAAGAAAGTAATAAGTCAATTCACTCTTCATGGCGCCCCTACTTACTTCACAAACGTGTCCACAAGTCAGCGTCAAACGAACTCCGCACGCTCTTCGACACCGAGGTGAAGCCCCCCTTGCCTTTTTTGCACCGCGCTTTGGTCGCCCCTTGCGGAGTCCCAACCACTGTAGCAGGGCTTCACGAGACGTGGCAACAACCAGTGGCGCAGCAACGACAGCAAAACAATGGCTGTGGGACCCGGGGAACGTTCAACAGGTCGGTTGTCTTCATCTTCGCTGTGAAAGGAGGCGTCTCACCGCTGCTGTGTCCTTCAGCACTTTAGTCCTCGTTGTTGAAAACCATCCTGTTCTTGTTCAGTTAGTTCGTGTCGCAAAAAAATGCAACTAAAGAATTCTTTGTAGTATGTATTAGCGAATAACCACTGCTAGGAAAGCTGGCGCTTCCTGGTAAGCCCAAAGGTCTGTAGTGAGCCTCGTTGAGTAAGATCCCTAATGTCCATTCACTGCCAAGCGCGTCCTGTGCCTTGACTGTGTTTTTCTAACCCCGTACTAGCGAGCTCAGCATCGCTTTTCTATGCTTTGCCCTGTGTGATTGGCGGATGCTTGCCATTGAGCCATCCACCACTACAAGCTCGCTGTAAGGAAATTGACGAGCCATGGTCACCGACTTCTCCACCATCATTGCCTGTACAACGACAAGAGCAACGCCAAGGAGGATACCATTTCGGATATCATGCATCGCGAGCTAACGACCAACAAACGCAACGTCAGCCCCTGATCGAACAACAGCGTTATGACCGCCGTAGTGCGCCTCAAGGCAACGATCGCGAGAGATCAGCAGAGCGGCGTCTTCCATCGCCACGAGCCAGTAGCTGGAGTCACAGCCAATCACCGCGACGAGGTCGTCGAAGCCAATCACCATGGCATTGTCACCGTAGCCCGTCACCACGTCGTCCGGAACGTGGCTATGGCTACGGTCAGAGGTGGCGTGAGCCAAGCCCCCCCCCCCGCGCTACAATCGTGCCTATGGACCTGGCGTACCGGTCCGGCTTTGCTGTAGGCTCCTCGGCGTCAGGATCGGATATACCTACTGGTGAATTGGAGTGGATTTTGGATTCCGGCTCACAAGTGAATATCTGTGTGGATCTATTGCTATTTGTGAGCTTCCTGGATGCTACTAACTCAACGTAATTGCTATACGGCAATGGAGCGGTAAAATGTACTAGCGTGCACAGATTGGTGCTGTTCCGTACGACGAGTCATGCTACTTTGTGTGTTGAAGATTGACTACTCGATGATGTGATCTACTCTGCCAAGTTGACTAACAACATTCGGCGCCAGAGCTGTATGCAGGGGCTCGGCTATGCGTTGTCGTACTCTGGTCCAGGCCCGTGTGCTGCGTGGTTCCCGAGGGGAATCACGAAGCTGCGCTTCGGGCGCGCTGACAGGATCTACCATTTACGCATGAAGAAACCTGATTGTCGCAAAGTCATGGCCGCTGCTGGTGTCAAGAGCGCTGAGAATCCGATGAAGTTACTGCATAACCAACTCGGACATCTCAACATGCATGCCATCAAGACGATGGTGATCGATGGGGTTGACTTTGGTGTTAAGATCAATGCTACGCAGCTGAGCCTTTAAGATTGTGTTGCGCGCCTTACTGCTAAGTCGCAAAGGATGACCTACGCTAGGGATACTGAGTGTGCTGCTGCTCCACTCGAGCAACGTTTGATGGACATCTGCACTATGAACGAGGAGACCGTAGACTGCAAGACTATGTTTGTTTCTGTCGTCGATGAGTTCACGCATTACAAGTGGATATTTCTACTATCGCAGAAGCGTGATGCTGCTGCTCTAGTGATTGTTGTGATCCGCCGACTACACTCGCAGTTTTCTAAGAAGATCGACCGCGTTGCGGTGCTCCATTCAGACCAAGGTGGCGAATTTATGTGTAATGAGCTGAGATTGTTATGCGAATCTGAAGGAATCTTGCAACAAACTACTAGCGCAAATTTACCTCAAGAAAGCGGGATTTTATAACGTGCAAATGGAACCGTACTGCCGCGTATTCGAGCTGCGCTCAGCGCTACAGCTCCCCCCCCACTATGCTGTGGGGTGAGACATTGCTGCACGTGGTGGATACGCTGAACAGATTGCCATCGAAGCCTCTGGGAGCGCTCTCACCGCATGAGAAGCTCTATGCAAACAGGCCTAACCTTGCTGGTGTACGGACTGGGGGGGGGCTAGTGCATGCACATATTGCGGCTGAATGTGGTACACGCAAGGAGAAGCTGAACCCGCGTGCTGGAATTGGTCTACAGCTTGGTTACAGTGTTGAGAAAAAAATGGATACAAGATTATGGGGTTGCAGGAAGGCAAGATCAATACCCACAGACGCGAGCACTTGCAGTTTCATGAAGACTACTCTGTGGATGCAAACTACATTGAAAGCCTTTTTCCATGAATGCCTACCGTGAGGGCTCGCATGACTTGTCAGACATCATTCCGGTGGTGAGAATTCGCATGGGCCTGGACTCGCTTCTGACCAAACGACGAACACCGGATCATATTGTAGCAGATGCGGGGAAAGTCTGTTGAAATTGTGCTTTTAAGCGTTATATACACAATCACTAGACCTTAGTACGACATCCCGTGTCACGGAACGAGCCTACACCGCCAGATTAATTAACGCAAAGTCGGAATAGTCTTCCTTCGCGCCGGAAACGCAGACGCATAGGGGCCAAACGCACGGCCCGTGCCTCGACATCATCAGATAAATAAGAGGCGTTTGAGATAGTTTCTCCACAAGTTGCGCCTTGTACTGTTCGACCTCGTCGTGCGACTAAACCGAACGTCCGCCTTCGTGACTATGTGGTTAATCACGTACGACTGCATGCGTAAAAGATGATCGTGCCGAGCACCTACAAGCAGGCGGTAGCCAGCCCTTACTGGCGCGAGTGGAAGAAAGCAATGCAGACCGAGCTGTGTTCTTTGCGAGAGCATAATACGTGGAGATTGGCTAGACACGAACAAGCTAAAGGGCATCGAGTGATCACGGGCAGATGAGGTTTTGCTGTCAAGCGCGACGAGCGAGGATTCGTCAAACATTTCAAAGCACATTTAGTTATTAATGGGTTCAAGCAAGTCGCTGGTGTGAGCTACACTGAAACATGCGCGCCCGTGTTCCGCTTTGAGACTATCCGAGCCGCACCCTACTACGTGTTGCAGTGTGGGTTGGTCATACAGCAGTACGCCGTTTAGACTGCATTCTGGAACGGTGCGCTTGAGGAGACAATATTTATGGACCAACCGCTAGGGTTCCAGCTGCAAGGATCCGAGTACGTCTGTCATCTGCTCAAGTGAATGTACTCTCAAACAAGCGCCGCACATTTGAAACCTTACTCTGCATGAGAATCTTATTGTAATTTAGTTTTAGAAGGCGAAGTAAGCTGGATATTGAGTTTTTCACTAAAATAAAGTAAGACCTGAACTTACTGCAATCTAGAATTAATTTTCGATCAATTAATAAACCCAGCAAGTCGTAGACGATTCTAGCTACCAGTGCTCTGTAACCTCGCGTGACTACATTTGATTAGTCACCCATGATGATCTCCTTGATAAGAGCTTGCGTTCATTTTCGTTTTGATCTCCTGCACTTTAAATGGGCAATCCCAGCCCTTCCATTCATCTAGTGATGCGCCTCAGCTGCATATTTCTCGCGGTCGTAGTTTTACTTTTCTCGAGCAGTGAAGCGCGGACTCTGCGTCAAGGCTCGCCCAGCAAAAAAATGGAAACGAGGGGGAATGGGTTTGACTCTGAAGAGAGAGCCAAGCCTATACACGGTATAACTTCGGGCATCGTCAACCACGAATAAGCGGCACCTACCAAGTCTTCCAAGTGGAAAAAACGTTTTGTCAAGGTGCTAAAATTCATTCTTCCAAAGATGAAGGCAGACCGTATTATAAGGGGAGCCGGCAATGGGGATTTTAGCCATACTAGACTCGGGATCAGCAAAAATGGCGCTTGAGCGTGCTCTGCAATTCCTACCATGATATGAAAATTATCATTCAAGATCATCGGCCTTCACATCGGACTTTTTGGAGGCTGGTTGTGGGTTTAAGGCCATGCTAGTGCAAAAAGCATTCGTCTTCGAATATTTTTTGAAGAGTGCGATGGCAAGTTGTTCCCGTTACAGAGCCCACTTCGTATTAATAAGACCTCGCAATCTTTCAAACAGTGCGTAAGTCTCAATGTAGTATTGTAAATACACTCTTCAAGCACGCTCGTAAACCACATTGTACTGTACATGCAGAAGTACCCTAAGCTTCTAGACACAAGTTGCCAGGCATGTTCTTTCCTGTTATTAGCCAGTCCTGAACGGGATGAATTGCTCTGAGCTCAAGTCATATGTATTGACATGTGAGATCATCACATATTTAAGCGACCGTGGACATGTATCGCACATTATTTCGATCTTCCCTAGGCTCCTCGTTTTTACTTTTTTACTGATCCCCCGTTCCATCCGGATATTTGTTGCCACATCCGGATTGTACGCATCGTACATCACACATCTCCAGAAGTTCGCGATGACTATGGCGGCGTGTTGGGCAATGCGCGCTGGTAACATTCGCAAGGTGTAATTCCCACTAAAGGAACATTTTCCACTCTGAAACACCCCCTCACTTTGTTACGCGATGTATCGGCTTCTGTAGACTGCGCAGTGCAGCAGTCGTCGCTCTTGCTCGTCCACGCCGATAAAAAGCGCGGTGGGGGCGATGTACACTGCGTGCAAACGAGTGACAGTCAACGCAGATCGGATGGTCCAATACGAGAAGGAATTGCAGCTGTTTCCAGCCGACACCAACCCGGCCTCACTGTGGTGGACGATGGTGCAACTGCATACGCCCCAGACGACGGAGATCGAGCTCGTAGAGTTCCTAGAAGGCGCTAAAATGGCAGCAAAAGCCCAGCTTAAAGCAGTCAACTCGAAGGACTTCGCAGAATACGCCGCTGGAATCGCAAGCGAGTCGAAAGCAGCCGAGGAATTGAGTAACTTCTGTACTCCGAGATTCTTTGAGAACTTGAGAGAAGCAGCGGCGGACACGTTGAGGGATAGGAATATGACTCTGGAGTTGCAGGATATCAACGTCGAGAGTATCGTAGTGGCTGGTGTGAGGTACGCACAGCTGACACAGACGGAGTATGAAGCGCAGACGGCTGGACTCGCTGTTCTTCCGTTTTTTTGGGCGTCGGATGCATCGATTGAGTACATGCAGATTCATGTGCAGACGAGGAGTCTTGAGACCACAAAGATGACGCTTATCGGCCAGGAGGAATGTTTTGCGCTGCAAGACAATTCACGTACGTGGACGTTTGGGAGTAAGGTCGGCAGCGTAGAGGAACTGGAGTGGCGTATCGTGAAGACCGTTGGAGCGAACAATGCCGCCAAGCAGCTATCGCGTACTGTGTACGCTGATCAAGACAATGGAGGCAAAAGTGTACCATCGGAGAGGGAGCATGGGCTGTAATTACAGCTTAAAGATCTATAAGCTACAATACATGTACTAATTCCATTTTCCACGTGAGACCGAATAAATGACGGATAGATTTCCGATGGGTGTCCTTTAACTTCGATAGCTTAGATACCGGTACATGTATCGCGTGGTTCCACTGGGATATTCTTGGACTATCGAATTTCCACAGATCTTAAACTCAGCAATATTCATCCATGTTCCAGTAAATCTGCTAAACAATTTCAAGGCTGCTGGTTGCTGATTACTGATTACTGACGCAAAAATAATTACAAGTTTTTCCACGGCCACTTCGTACATGTAGTCGTAGGCTACACATATACACTTTGCTGTCCGTATTAGGTTTGTCATTTGAGCATTGTCAAGTAAACTCCATAGTAATCTCTAAGATCGGACTTGGTGGACCTTAATTCTATCATATACGACAGGATATCAGATTTCTCAAAGTTCATTTAGGAAAGGTTTTCTCTAAAAAGTCGGTGCTTGTCAAAAAATTGTCACCCTTTCCTCGTACCATTTGCGTATCATGACCGTCCATTCCGCTTGTGTATTGTAAAGTTTGTCTTCTGGGGATCGCTATGCGTCGGTTCTTCGGACGCTTCGCTAGTCGCCCGCGCGTCGTCGCTGGTCATCAGTCGCCTTCGCGTTCGGTGCCCGAGGGCATCGCACGTCCCCCGTACGCAGTGACCGGCGGCATGTCGGACCTCAAACCATTTATCCCCATCCTGGACGCAGAGCAGCAGCTGCGGCTGCGAGCAGCCTGCGCATTGGCCGGGGACATACGCGAGTTGGCCAAGCCGCTGTGCCAGCCTGGAGCCACCACCGAAGATATCGATCGCCTCGTGCACGAGGAAATTGTGCGATGCGGTGCGTATCCGTCGCCTCTTAACTACGGAGGCTTCTCCAAGTCGCTATGTTCGTCCGTGAATGAGATTGTCGTGCATGGTATCCCTGATAGTAGGCCGTTGGAGGACGGAGACATTGTCAACATTGATATCTCCGTCTTCCTGGATGGCTTTCACGGCGATACGTCGCAAACATTCCTGGTGGGTGAGGTGGACGAGGCCGGGAAGCACCTGGTGGACGTCACCAACCAGGCGCTCATGGACTCCATCGAGCACTGCTGCAAGCCACTCAATCGCTTTGCTAGTATCGGGGACTTTGTACAAAAGTTGGCGGAGGAGGAGGGACTGGGCGTTGTGCGGGAATACACAGGTCACGGCATCGGTAAAGAGTTCCACTGCTTGCCCTTCATCCTGCATCACCGCAACGGCGAGCCAGGCAAGATGCTGCCGGGCATGGCTTTCACGGTGGAGCCGGCGCTAACGGAGGGAAGTCCCGAGGTGCGATGCCAGTCGAGGGATCTGTGTAGCTGTTGTACCTTTCCTAAACTGTGTTGTGATAATTTATAGATTGTTCACTGGGACGACGGTTGGACTGTGGCCACGGCAGACGGCGGACGATCAGCACAGGCGGAACACACGGTGCTTATCACTGAAGATGGCGTCGATATTTTGACCTAGGAAAGCTCTCACATCGCACTCCTTTTTGTTGGGTAATCTAAATTGCGTGAAGCAGACAAACTGTAGTCTGGCTTCAGTACTGCACCGGGTTCATTGGCATCTACATGTACATGTATGTAAATTAACAAAGTGTCTTCTATGCGGCCTTCAATTCATCAGCTGCACACTTTTGCTCCGTAAATCGGAGCAGGAATCTTCACGTGTCACTTGCTCGCTATCGGCTCAACTTTAAATGGAGTCGCTTTCGTGATATGCCAGTCCACAAGCTGTGCGCGAGATACGTCCGAGTAGAAACTCCAGTCGAACGTCGTCTTTACCGTATGCCTCGTTGGGTTATAGTCGCCCCCATCCTGTCTCGACGCCAGCAAGTGCTCGGTGACGACATATCGCACTTTCAACCGCACGGCCTCGTTCATGTGGTAAATACTGCACGTGTCATTGTTTTGGTCCATCGCAGCGTCCGAGTATTCATACTCTGCCCCCGCCAGTCTCACATCGTGCACCTCAAGCTTCTCCAGCTTAAATTTGGTACCGACAGGAAGGCGCAATGTCATTCGCTGCGCTTCCAACTTGCTGGTCCACTTGTCGACACAATCAGCACTCGCGATATCCGCCAACGCCTCGGAGAACGATTCTGTCCCCAGGGTAGGGGTATGTTCTTCATTGTAAAGCTGGCTAAATACGGCGTGCGCAGCTTGTCTCGCGCCATTAAGGAAACCTGCGAGGTCAATGGTCTGGTCTGGTGGAATTAGACATACCAGGTACATGTACACCCGCTCTCGTAGCGTCGAGCAGCGAGTGAAGTAGGGGCTTAGCGGAGACGAAGCGCTGTCGAGCGTGATGATCTGGTTGTAGTTGAGGAAGCTGCGCGCCGCTAGATGAAGAACTTTGGCTCGAGACATGACGTAGCTTGTAACACGAGGGCTGGTGAGGAATGTACGACGCTGTAGCGTTGGTGCGGATCGAGCCAAGTTGCTGCGACAGTTAAATGAGATTAAGGAGGCGTTGCGGAGAGCGATAGCTCCAGTAGAGCGACGTAGGACGGAAGGTAGTAGCATGCTTGTGGGGGTGCTTGTTCGAACTGTGCTGACTTCAGCTGAACATCAGACGGTAACAGCAGCTTGAAATCTCCTACACCCGTGTCCTTTTTTTGTGCTCGTTTAGAAAAGAAAAGTAAAATTACTTACTCTTAGTTCAAATTATTACTTGAGTCGCTTTTAGAAAAATAGATGCATTTGACAGTAGTGTTGGGTTAGGCAAACAAAAAATGGATGGCCCAAAGTGCAGCTAAGAGACACGACGATTGCTTCATGAAGATAAAAAAACAAAGCCACGCTGGTGCAGCATGTCCAATCAAGACAAGTGGGTCCAAGCAAAACGACAAGAATCGCTTTTGGGCCAAATTGCTGTGAGAATTTTGGATAAGGGGCGTTAAGCTGGAGATCTTACGATCATGTGATAATTGCACGAAATACCCAAAGCTTGCACTAGCTTTTACCTCTGCTGCGGCTGCCATCCCAGTGCCTATGTCTTCAATAATGAGTGGCTTCTCGCATTGTCATCTTTATTATGGACATACCTGGTTATTTTGGGCAGCTATGCGTATTTTTTATTTTGCCCATTGTTTGAAGGTGCGCTGATAGATAGACCAGTTGAGCCGAACGCAATATACATCCACGAGTTGCCCGGCGGACCACCACTCCGCATCGCTGCATACCAGTCTGACCACTTAACAATCGGCACTTCGGCTTTCAAGTTCCAGAATATCAAATTTTGTTCGGAACTCTAGAATAATCCCGAGATTATCCTGTTTCACGTGATTTAATTGGATGTCAATACGGTAACAGCTAAAATTGGGAATGTAAAAGTTCCATTTGCGTCGACGATTGTGGGTAGCATTAGTTTTCTTATCGGAAATGCTACAGTCCGTGCGTCGACTCCGGTTATTGTCTATGTCATGCTCCATGTAATGTCCATGATTGTAAAATATTTTCATTCGGTAATTTATAACAAATCCAGTCGTTGAGTGCATTTATTGTCCAACTCTCATCCGTGTATTGTCCACGAGGTGCTATTCATGTATCCATGTAATAGGTACCGGTACAAATCTTTATACCGGTAGTGTTACCAATCACACCAGCCTTTCACTTGCTTTTCAAACACAAACTCGCCCCCCCTTCGAGCGTTGCCGCCACCTCCGATCCGTTACCAGCTAGCCGCCGTAGCCTACATCACGAGATCAACCGATGCTGTCTGCGCCGGCCATGTCGCTGACTCTGTCCGCTTCCGCGACACCTGAAATGTGTTATCTTGCTGTTTGTGGTCTGTGTGAGCGTGTTTCTAACCGCGCGGTATCTACTTGTATATACAGGGTGGATCGTCCTACTCTTCTTCGGATATCGACACTACAGCTTGTGCAGCCTCCTGCACGGCTGCAAAGCTCGGATGACGCACCCATGTATTGTCCAGGTAATAGATTCTCCCTGGCTTGTGGAGCGCCCGCAGACGTGGTGTATCCCAGCTGGTCGGCGTGGAATGAGTATTTGAAGACGTACTCGGTAAAGCCCCCCCCCCAGGTCATCCGCATCCAGACAACGCTTCGTTGTGTATTGAAAAACAAGCGGCTAGGTCAAACAGCGGCAGCAAGCAGGGAATGGACGTTTCGTACTCACCCGAGATGTGGCGTGCTTACCAACGCACATACATCTGCACGCATGGATGGCCAGCGAAGGACAGATGCAGCGGATTGCGAACCAAGCACTTCGTCCGAGGATTCGGTTGTCCATTTCATTCGTGGTGCAGCTCTTGCAAGTTGATGGCGTGAGGTGCCTTCTTGTAAAGAACGGTGTGTACCAGCACAACCATGCGGTGGGCACAGCTCAGTTCAAGACGTACGCGGGGAACCGTTCGCTGGACGACACGGACACGAAGGATGCTGTGGACAGCATGGTGATGTACGGTAGAAAGCGCGCTCGAATCTATGAATATCTTCTGGGGAGAGGCGAGAACCTCGTGAAGGAGGATGTAGACAACATCGTGCAACGGGGGATGAAAGCGGAGATGAGAGGAGGGTTGAATGACGACGACGCTTGCGCCGCAGCTCTCGCATAATTCGCAGCTACTGATGGCAACGTAGTCACGGTGGACGAAGCTGATGCGGGGCACTCTGGCGTGATCAGTATGACGTCAAGACATATGTGGGACATGGCTACTAGGTTTCCAGAGCTTTTGCTTGTGGACTGTACCCACAAAATGAATCGGTAAGTCCTCCCATGAATTGTGCAATTATTTGTCCATGTATAGTCCGTGTTTATCTTAGTCTTCTGCCCGTGTATAGTGCAATTCGTGTCCATGTACTATCCATTAGCTACAACTACCAGCTTTGTACCTTCATGATGATAGACGACAACGGGCGTGGGAAGCCTGTACAACAGTCGTAGCTCGAACGAAACGCCGATTGGCAGATGTCCCGTGCGCTGGATCATCTATTTCGAATTGACGATAAGATTAGCGACAAGGTCCAAGTTATAATGGTCGACAAATATCTGAATGAGATCTGCGTGCTGCGTAGGTACTTCCCTAAGCCGCGCGTGTTGATTTGCGTCTTTCACGTCATCAAAAATGTCCGCACAGCGTCCAGGGAGCCGGAATATGGTAAACTTTCGTCGGACGATCACGACACCATCGACGTATTAGTTCACAACATGGTATATGCCTTGAGTTCATAGATCTACGAGACCAATTGGACCTCCATGAGGGCACTTTGCACTAGGACTGGATATTTGGTATTTTACGACCACATGGACGAGAACTGGAACACTTGTACGGAGATGTGGATCATGTTTCAACGCTCACGGTTGGCACATTTGCGCGTCCTCACGAACAACCATTTGGATAATTGGTTTGGCCATTTTAAGGACGCCGTAAACTCCAACATGACTATGACTGACACTGTGAAGGCCCTTATTGGTGCCGACTCCAGGACTTCCAGTAAATACGTGTTCGATAAGAGTAGGATCGGGTTACGTGTAAACAGTAGCTACGACGAGGAGATTTCCTAAGTTTTACGCTTCACGACGCATTTCGTAACAACCCACGTGGAGAAGGAGTGCGTAATGGCGTGTTCGAAGGTTGAAAAGCTCAAATTCAATTTGAAATCAAATCCAGGCTTCGTGGAGGTGACGGGCTAACGCAAGACGCACGCTGTGGATTTGACAACGTGGAGATGCACTTGCTCATTTGCTTCTGCAATGCGCCTCCCTTGCCAACACGCGATCGCGTTCAGGAAATTGAGCAACGCACCAGGAAGCGTAATTCCGCTGAGTTGCATCGATGAAATGTGGGTTTACTCAGGTTTTGTCCACCTATAGGTCATTCCTAGTCCATGTATTATCCATTGTTAATATCATATTAACGGTCGGACATGTCGTTCGTTTAGATGGTTGCATCCTCCTGAGCACCAATTACTCCGCGGCCTTTTGTGCTAATGAGTAAAAACCTAGAGAGGCGAAACGCAAGGTACTTGATGCTAATGTTAAGTACAAGGAGGCCGTCAGCGCGTTCCAGGGTATATGCAGCGAGCTAGCCGATATCTCCGAAGCCAACGAATGCCGTGAGCATTTGGACTTCGTCGTCCAACAACGGAGGAACATTAGGCAGCGCAAACGTGTAAAGGTTGAAAGAACGAAGGTCTCAGTCACGAGAGAAGAAGCAGAAATTAAAAACGTGACCTCTCCAGTGACAACCAGCCGAAATCGAACCGAAAGCATGCCCGAACTGGAGCAGCTTGCGCTTTAAATCACCCCTGATGACTATGAAGAGAAAATGACCGATATTGGATTGAGCATCCGTCTGAACCCCAAGGCCGCGAAGTCTGGTAGGCCTCGTTTGAACCGAAATGAGAGAGAAGCAGACGACAAGAAGAAACGAGCGTTGTTCATTGAGTCAGAAGCCCATAGACGACGTCATGGAGAGGTGATGTTGATACAACTTGAACGCTGTCTTCAACACGAGAAGCCGCCACTTCAAGACACCCTAAGTCGTGTTCTGCCCCTCCAAACCAAGTACAAGAACGCAGGTAGCAAGAAACCCAAGTACACTCGGGTGAGGGCGCCTGTGCTGAATGAAAACGCGTTCTTCCTACCCCAACCCAAAACTGTTGGACAAGTGTGTTGCCGTGCTGCCTGTCATAAACACCACCGAAACAGCCATCGACGTATTCACCCAGAGTCAAACCACACAGAAAGACGAAGAAATATCTACAATACCTGGACAAAACATGGACAGTAATGGACAAAACCCAGAGATCGTCTGTGTCTACATCGCGTGTATCGGAACATTTTCACGCAAACAGATCGAGGCCATGGCATACTTAGCAAACGTGAAGCGGTTGTGTGAAGAAGAAGTGGCGTTTACCAAATCGTTAGCCAGGATGCAGCCAGCGCCATTTCAGCGGCACAAAAACGACGATTCAGAGCATGGCAGACACCATTGCACGCGCCTACCCCCAAGATACCATCTCCAGTGACGGCAGCGTTTACCACTACGCGATGATATACCGTCTCAAGCCGCCTCAATGAGCTAATGAAGCGATGATTTTGGCTTTTTGCGCGAGATTGTACAGGACGGGTACCAGCGTTCGCGTCGTCGGGGTCGAGGCAGCCTCTGCGTCAAAGAAGAAGAAAACTATGAGCGAGAAATGAAGACAAACGTCCAGGAACTACTCACTGAAGCGGATGTACTGCCCATTCCTGTAACCGTTGGAAACATGCATTGGTGTTCAATTATCGTGGATGGCAAGCAGACCAATGGCCTGTACTATGACTCAACGAGCCTGAAAACGTACAAGAGCGTACTGGACCGACTGTCGTGGGATCTGGCTACTACACTCAGCGATGACTAT